GCATAAAAGTAACTTTACCCACTTTGGTCCCTTTGACACTAACGGGATATTGAGAGTTTCCAAAATCGTGGCTCTAACTGTGAGCTGTTGGGTCTGTTTACTCAGCATCTCTACAGAGAGAAGCACAGCGGGGCCTTGTCCTCCATAGGCAGAAATAATAGTAAAACCATTTTATCAAGGTGGAAATTGAGGCGGGGGAAGGTTGGCTCCATGGGCCAGATTCACCCCTGTACCAGGAAAAGGAGAGAGGGGAGGGGCCATTTGTGATTCTGCTGTTCAGTGGCTGCAGGGGCCGGTGCAGACCTTGGCACAGGCTGAGGAAGCTCTGAAGCCAGCCAGAGCTACATACCTATGACAATGGCCCCCGTGTGTTTTGGCCACTGTGCAGAGTGTCCAAGGCCCAGCTTTACACGGCCCATGTCCCTCTATCCCTCGTCCACCCCCTCCCTCTTCCACCCGCCCTCACCCCCCCACCCCATTCCCAGCCCTCTCAGGAACACGCATTGTGTCTGCAGCTGCTGGGGAGGAGGCACAAGAGGTGTCTGTGCTGGAGGGATCCCTCACCATGGGGGAGGGGCTTTCTCCTTCCCTCCAGCCCATTTGGTCCAGACTAGCTGCAAACGGGACCAGAGCCCAGTGATGGGCTGGATCCGCCTTTGAGAAATGTGCCCCATGGCTGGTGATGGGGCAGTAGATGGGGAGGGCTCTGAGCTATAGAGAGTTCTTTGCCATGTGTCTGGCTGTTGGGTCTTGCCAGAATGCTCGCTATCCAACTGACCACCATATTTGGGGTGGGGAAGTAATTTCCCCCCAAGTCAGATTGACAGAGAGCCTGGGGCTTTTTTCCCTGCCTTCCTCTGCAGCGTGGGGCACAGGTCAGTTGCTAACTAGAGTCAATGGTGGATTCTCAGTAACTTGTGTAGCGGGGCAGTTACCCTGTTCCTGGGATAAAAGGAGGTAAAAGGTGAAAAGCAGCTGAGGTCAAGCTGATTAGGGAGGCAGCCACAGCTGGGGCCACACCCAATTAAGCCACAGCTGGCCCTGATAAAAGGGCTGGAAGGTAGGCAGGCAAGAGTCTTACTGCAGGGCTGCCTGGGAGCACAGAGTACCTTACACAGGGCAGCGCTGGGGTGGGGTGGGGCGGGGCAGGGCAGGCAAGGCAAGGCAAGGCAGAGATGGGGAGTTCTGGCCTGGCAAGTCCCCAGGCTGAGGCTTTGCGAAGAGTCAGGGATGGTACTCAGGCTGCAGGGAGGCAGCTGGGTCTAGAAAGGCGGCAGGTCCAACCCCCTTGCCAATGATGAGTGGACATTGTGGACTGCAGGCTGCCCCAGAGAAAGGGGGATAGATGATGACTGGCACTAGCTACTGAGGCAAGCTGGGTATAGAGGCTTGGGGTTCCCCTGGGAGGGGAGACCCAGAATGTGGGGGTACTGCTTTGGGCAGAACCCCAAGTTAAGGGGCACTGGGGTCCAGGAGGGATATGGGGGCCTGAGGCAGGAGAAACACTGGCCAACAGTGGAGGCTCTGGAGCTGGAGAGCTAATTCCTGGACTGACCAGCAGGACATGTCTTGCCAGTGAGTGCTCAAGCTGTTACACTTGAAGTTTTTAAATCATGATTTAAGGACTTCAGTAACTTGGCCAGAGGTTGAGGTCAATTGCAGGAGTGGGTGGGTGAGATTCTGTGGCCTGCAATGTGCAGGAGGTCAGACTGGATGAGTGTGATGGTCACTTCTGGCCTTAAAGTCTTTGAGTCTTTTCTTACTTTACAGTAATTGTCATGGCAAGGCAGGCTTTTGGTGCAAACAAAGGTTTGAATTAATCAACCTGAGTGTCTTGGACCCAAGTGCAAGGCATTCTCACCCAACAATTAAATAGAAGCATCATCTAATTGTGAACCAATTGACCAGCACCATTCTCTTTCCACAGTCTCAGAGGCTCATCCCAATTTCCATTCCTAAATCTGTTTTAGGTACCTTTGACCTTCCTCAGAGTCTCCGATAGCACAATCGTTTTCTGGGAGAAACCACTGACTCGCTCTTCCAGTTCTGGAGAAATCTCCTCTGGCTGCTTAAACTTCCTCTTCTCACACCTGGAGAGAAACAATTTCATGTGATTATATTTCATTGAGTGACTCATTATAAATTCTGGCTGGTGAGTCGCTGCTCTAATGGGCCTGGAGTTAGAATTCCTCAACTTCTCCCAGCCTCAGAACAGGTGCAACACAGGCCATGGCCATGAAAAGTTCCCCTCAAAGGACCATTAATATTCTTCAATGCTGGCCTGGAGAGATCAGCTCTGGGGATAAAGGGGGAATTGAGTCTCCATGGCCAATTCACTCCTTGGCCTCTATGCTTTGAGGGACAGGAGGTTCTCACATGAAGTGTTGTAGAAATCTGTCCTCTAGGTATTAGACTGAGACTCCAACTCCCCCCTCCCCAGCTCATTCCACACAGGTCTCCAAACAGCCCTCAGGTGGGGAAGACTCTTGATCACTGCTGCCCTGGGCTCAATGGTAACCAGGGCCTCAGCAGTGACAGGCCCATATTCCATCCTCACTATCCTGAGGCAGCCAGTCCCCCAGGGATGTGAAATCTCTAGGAAATATTTGAGGTCAGTCCTTCCCACTGAATAGAGAATTACAGAGTCTTCTGTGCAAGTGTGAGGACCTCAGGATGAAGTTGATCAGAGAGATTTATATCCAATATGTGACCTTCCCCACACATTTTGCTGTAGAGCCCTGGGGAGATGCAGTGCTAACATCACCACCAAGCTCTTTCCCAGTGTTGTGAAGTGTGATGGGGAGGGAGAGAGCCACGTACCTGCTCAACGTGCTTCTGACATCCTAGAGGAGAGAGAGAGAGAGAAGAATCTCAGTCCCATCTGACACAAACAGGGGGTGCCACGGAAGGGATTTAGGAAATATGGGGGAGGAAGGCCCTGCCCACTATGCTCCAGTGCCAATGTTTTTCACTCAGTCCCACCTGCAGGAATTCACTTGTTGGCTTCTGACACTTCCCCTCCAGCTCACTGATTAGCTCACTGAGATGGGAAATCTGCTCGGAGAGTTGACTGACATTTTCATTCTGGATCCTCACAATCTCCTCGTCCAGCTTCTCCAGCTGGGCCAGCAGGAGTCGCTCTTGTTCCACCAGGAAGTGCCGCAGTTGCTGAAATTCAGACACAATCTTCTGCCTCTCGGTTTGTGATTGTTTCTGTATGAAAATAGGGCAAGGGCTGGTCAGGGACGTGTATGGAGCCTGGGGTCCTTTCATGAAGAGCTGAGTGTGCAGGAGGCTGATTTTCTTTGAAAATACTAAGATTTCTGACATTTCATTCTACCTGTGGGTACTAGGCAGGGGATTCTCTCACACCTTCCCCTTTGGCCCCTGTATCCCTCTGAAAGGGATGTTTCTCTGTCGGTCATGGTCAGCATATTGTTCTTTATGGTTTGTGGAAATTCAGACTCAGAGCAGCAGTAGGCAGGACTCAGCACTACACTGACAGACACCAGGGGAGTTAAAAGAAACAAATGTTTTAAAAATGCACAAAATGTCTAGACACAGTGGACAGCACTTCACGGGGACATTCAGTTCACTTGGGGAGGATTTTTGAGAAAGCCACAAGGGCTAGACTCACCAATTGAAAGGGAATCTTAGGGCTTGTCTACACATGAATCAAACTCAGCAATCCAGTGGAGAAACACACATATAAGCCTATGTTCACCAAGGCCCACACAGGAGTCTGCCTCCAAACAGACCTCCCACTGCCAGTCCCTTCTGGTTCATAACAAAAGGCACCTACCAGATACTCCCGGCTCTTCCCCTCTCCAGTCGTTTTCAATCCCAGCAGCTTTTCTCTCTCTTCCCTCAGAGTCTTCAAGTGGGCCTGGATTCTTTCCTGAAGAAACAGAAATGATTTGGGAGGTTTCATCTGGATAGTTGAGAGGTATTTGGAAGTGGGTGTTTTTCCACCCAAAACCCAAGATGACTGTGGTTCTAATCACTTTGAGACATCAGGACCACCAAGGAGATGAAACCTCATTAATGGAGACTGGGAGTGTGTCACATTCAGACTCATTACCAATTCCGGTTCAGTGTTTTTAGTAATTAGAGATCTCAATTATAAGCAAGCTTTACTGGTATTTTTGAACTGATTAGTGGTACAGCGCATAACAGGGCACCAAAGTCACATGGGGGTGAATCAATAACCCTGTTTTGTAGGAGGTTTAACAAACAAAGTGATACAAATCCCAGAAGCCACCAGGGTTTCAATATGGGCTGGGATTTCAGCCCTGAAGCCCCAGGGACTGCACTGGTTGGGCTTAGCTGGTCTAAGCACCAAGGCAAACGCCACGAGATGCCGGGAGGTCATACGTCTGGTTTGAAGCTGCGCAGTCCCAGTGTTGTGGAGCACTATCCCTGTCCAGTAGGGACCCAGCACTGGACGTGGCTTTGTCTGCTGCAAAAGGGAGAGGAGGCGACTGAGGATGCAGGAGGACACTGGTGGGGGTGGCACCTTCATACAGAATGATGCAGGAGGGTGGCACACTGAAAAAAGCAGTGGTGGACCAAAACAGGGTGACTGATACTGGTGAGGACGGGCCCATGCAGGCAGGCATGGGCATGTCCGATGTTCTGGGGATGCCTCAGTGACCACCATAATTAGACATGATGCAGATTTGTATAAAGAACGGGTTGGGGTTTGCACCAGTGCTGTCCTAAACCCTTTCCATGGCAATGTCCCCTGGGCAGATGCCCCACGGTTCCATTCCCTGGTAAAGATCCCGGAAGCAGTGCATTCTGGGAGATTTCAAAAGGCTGCCTGGTGGGACTAATGGAACCAGTTTGGCTGGTCCTTGCCCACGTACACAACAGAACAGGTCAAACTGGCACCGGTCAGCTCCAGCCTGTAGTTGGTTTTGCTACAACCCAGTCTAATCCCAGTGGTACTTGGCATGGACCTGAGCTGTCTGGAGCCCTTTTGTGTGGATTGAAGGTGCTCAGGATCCCATACACTGTTTAGCCCAGTGATCTCCTCTACTGCAGGCCGGCAGCATCTGAGTTTAATCCCTCATGGAGCGACACGGGAGTTCAGAATCCCAGCGAGAAAACTCCTCTCCCTCCTGGGCCTGGGACCTTTATCAAGGTGTCTCTCCCGCCTAACGTACACACTTCATCACTGGGTGGGACTGATGCTCAGCTGTCAGCATGGCAAAGTGGTTCGGGTCTTGGACTGGGTCTAAGGAGATCTGGGTTCTATGCTAAGCTCTGTCACTGACATGCTGGGTGACTGTGGGCAACTCGCTGCCCTGTTTTATGCCTCAGTTTCACTTCCCATCTTTTATCTAGCTAGACCAGTGGTCACCTACCAGTCGATTGAGATCTACTAGTCGATCCTGGAGATTCTCCCAGTTGATCGCGATCTCCGACGGCGCAGCAGGATTGCTTGCTGATGCTAAGGCAGGCTCCCTGCCTGCCCCAGCCGTACAGCACTCCCAGAAGAGGCCAGCATGCCCCCGCAGCCTGGGGTGAGGACAGGGTTCTCTTCACATGGCTCCTGCCTGCAAGCACCACCCCCGCAGCTCCCATTGGCCGGAAATGGGGAACTGTGGCCATTGGGATCTGCGGGAGTGGTTCCTGCAGAGAGGGGCAGTGCACAGAGCCACATGCCCGCCACAGGGGCACATTGGCCCCTTCCAGGAGTGGCGTAGGGTTGGGACAGGCAGGGAGCCTGTCTTAGCACTACTGCACTGCCGCCCGTGACCCGCCCGAGGTAAGTCAGTGCCACCCAGCTGGAGCCACATCCCATACCCCCTCCTGCACCGTAACCCGCTGCCCCAGCCCTGACCCTCCTCCCAGAGCCAGCACCCTGTACCCTTTTCTGCACCCCAACACTCTGCCCCAGCCCGGAGCCCCCTCCTGCACCCCAACCCCCTGCCCCAGGCTCAGCCCAGAG